AACACAAGCGTTGGCGTTATCTGTAACAACCTGGGCCACATGCTTCTCGCCCATGTCCTCGACTATCTTTCCAATGGTTGCGCAATGAATTTCACTTTCGTTGTCACCGTAGAGACATCTCTACTGGACAAGAAGGTCGTACCACATGGGCAATAAACCAGAAATTTTATGCAGTCTCTTTGATTGACTTTGTCCAACCAATTGTCACTCATGATGGTGACACCCGTACTTTGCCAACTATCCTTAAGATCCACAATCCATTTCTTAGTATATTCTACCTCTGTATCCAAGACTGCCCCACTAGCTCATATGTTGTAGGAGGCTTCACCCCAGGTCTTGCTTTCCGATTTCAGCGATCATAGATGAGTGAAATGGGCTATTGGCTGCATTGAAGTGGAGCGCACTATTATACCACCATTTCCCTATGCCCCTTGCTATTAAATCACGTGCACCATTGATCATGCCTTTTAGGGTCAATTGTTGAGATTTATGCCTCGAGACGAATGAATCACCCTTAGCCATTGGTCTCATTGGCCTCATCGATCGACTGTGTGCTCCTCTCATGTTGGACAGGCCAGGAGTAACGTTCTCTACATCGTAGGACGAGGTTGCCCCACACCCCTCGACTATTGAACCGGCACCATGTGCCCCTCTGCTAGGCCCTCCATACAATGCTTGGGCCGGGCCCACCATACATGATCGGGCTGGGCCCCTCATACATCTTTGGGTCGTGTCATCCATACATGCTCTGGCCAGGCCCTTCATACATGCTCTGGCTAGGCCCTCCATACATTCTCGGACTGGCCCTCTGTGCATATCCATCCCCCTCTCCTGTTGGTGCACTTCTTTTAAGCTGGGTCTCATTGCATCTCCTTGTCGTGGTCGAATCGCTTGTCTGGATCTACCCCACCTGATGGCACATATAAGCTTGCGATCTCCTCATTCATCTTCTCTCTTACTATCTTCTTACCCTTATGTGCCTTGAGGAGAGCCGCCATCTATCTCCTTACATCGGTAGGTACATTGTTGCATGTAGCGACCTCCCCCCAAACCCCTACCAAATGTTGTTTGAACCGGTTTATGCTACTAGTTATGACCTTTTTGGCAATAATTACATATTACTTTGTCTTTTCTGTTTAGATCAACTTTGATCCCATGCTGCCATGCAGGGTCATCCTTGGAATTGGACATCATGATAATTGTGGAGTATGCAAATGGTCAGAAAAAATCATACTGAATGTTCGATTAGACTGTGAAAACTATTTTCCCATTTTTTTAAATTTTTGAGAAAATGTCATGGAATTTTTGTGACCCATTAATGTCACTTGAGTCGAATGATATCCGTGCTTTGGGCATCAAACCCATAATATATTTTTTCATTTAAAAGTTATGTTCTCATTACAACCAGTGATCTATCTTGAGTTCCGTCTCAAGTTCTAGATCACTCTTTTACCACCAGTGCTTGCTCAAAGGAGTCAAAGGGAGATCACGTATGTTTTTAAGTTGAGTGTGCATGCATCAATATAAATTCCAAATTTGCATTCCAAGTTAGTTATTATAAAAAAGCAAGTATTCTCGCATAAATCAAACTAGGGTATACTATGAAGTGAGCATAGAACATCACATTTTTACAAATATTCCACTCAAGAATAATTTAATTAGGCCTCAAGAGCATACATTTTATTGCATTAAAAAATTGACAACAAAATTGACAAGTACAAGTTTTTTTTCCATGATAATTATACATTCATGACATAGAAATGAATATAATTACAAAAAATAAAAAAAAATGTATTCTTATTCTGAGAGAAACAAGAACCACATATATTTGTCAAAATCTCTAATTTTATTCAGCAAAATATTTTAATTATAAATTTAATCTATAAACAAATATAGACTGAAAATAAAAAGGAGAATAACATGGGTTTGGATTTTAAGGGTCAACCCCACCTCTCTAAAGCACCCCCCAAATCTAGCAGAGGCCTGAGAAGGAAAGAAAACCAAGAGAATTTAAACTTAAACGTAAATTGAGAGAAGTTCTATTACTATTCGCCCCCTAATTTATGCGTTATTGAAATAAACAAGGGAAAATAGCCTAGTTTAATTCCACAAAACACCTTTTAATGAGGAAAATTTCATCAGAAGGCACCCCAAAACATGAGCTATTGAATATATGTTATTACTTTCAATTTTAAAAATCCCATAAAGGGCATGCAATCATGGGTTAGAATAGTTGTCATTTTAGGCTTCTTTTGATAAATATAAAATGTTAAGAAATTCTTACATAAACCCCCATTACTAAAGTTTCTACATATACAGCCTACCAAAAATTTTGTTATTAAGCCCAACACCTTGTTACTGTTCATATGTATTCATGCCCATGTACAATTTTTTGGTGATTTGGGATGAAAGTGTCCCTCACATCAAATGCATTAAACTAAAAGGATATTTCTTGTTTTAATTACATATCAAGAACATACATTTTAGTGCATTAAAAAATTGACGATAAAATTAAAAAATACAAGTTTTTTTCCCATGAATATTCATGACATAGAACTGAATATAATTACGAGAAAATCGAAAAAAATGCATTCTTATACTGTGTGTATCAAGAACATATATTTGTCAAAATTCCTAATTTTAATCAGCAAGTTAATTTAAAAGTAATTACTTAAAAAACCCTAAATTGGATTTTAAACCACATAGCATTTCAAAAAATATATATATAAAAAAAAACAAAATAAAAAATCATGATACTATTGGATCTGAGAATTAGAGCAATTAGGATCAAAATGCATACCTCAATTGGATTTGAATTGAGTTATAATGATCGGAAATCAAGGTTTTCGAGATCGTTTGAAGAACATGATTTCTTGAAAAATCGACCACCACACCTTGCTTGATCACACAAATAAGCACCACGATCATCTGAAGAACACCATTATCTTCAAAAGGCCTCTAATATCATTCAAAATAGTGCCAAAAATCGATTGAAATCAACAATTTGGCGAAAAAAATGGATCTTGTGAATTGTTCTTCAAGAAACAGTGCCGAAAAATCGATTTCTTGAAAAATTGAGCTACAATAGTTGCTTAACTATACAAACAAGCTACAAAATCTTCTCAAGAACACCATTTCGAACGAAACCCTCTAATATCAATCAAAATAGTTCCAATTTGGCTTGAAATCGCAAGAATGGCAAAAAAAATTTTGTCAATTGTTTTTGAAAAAATGTTGCCTGAAAATTGATTATGTGATTTTTACATTGCGATGCAATTGTTTATAATGCTTGAAAAAGCTTGCAAATGCTCAATAATACACTGATAAAGCCTGTGAATGCTCAATAATTCAGCAAAAAAAGGTGAAACCCGTGACATCAGCAAAGCGATTCCTTGTAGGTAATCTGTCGGATCCCTTTTTTTAAGCAAATCCAGGGCAGCTCTACTGATACCCGATCCAGATCAGATCGGCATTTTTTTTAACCTTGTGTATTATTATTAATGTGCCAGATCTTAGTCCTGGTCAGACTCTTGATGACTTGTGCTCCACATTGAGAATTATGAGAATAACAATCTTGATCAATCATCATCATAAAGCCTTTTCCCAACTAATTGGGGTCGTTACACGAATCTTGGCCTACCATTATATACTCTGAACCATTCTGCTCTAATATATGTGATGAAATCATACCACAGTCTTTATCAATATTTGACTGAAAAAAAGATCATTATACAGTTGGTCCATTTTAGTTATTGGGTTATGATTTTGAGTCTTGGACTTAATACCATATCAGTCCAGCAGTTACAAAGTGAAACTAACTAATATTAATTCAGCAGAAAGCCAGAGAATGACTTGTATACAACTTTCCCTAACAGAGAAAATTTACAAAAACCTCACAATATATAAGAACCGTTAGATCCCAATACACTCCTCAAATGGGGTTTTCTCAGTGAGGACAGCATGAGAGATTATTTGGACATGGAGTGTTGAGCAAATGGAGTTAAAGGAAGAAAGCTGTAGAGATATAAATCTTCTTCCAGATGCTCATGTTCTAGTTCTCATACGAAGATTGTTAACATATTTTGGTGGAATGTTCTTATACTAGAATGCCATGGTTCTCAATAATGGCCAGATGTGGGGTGGTGCTACAAATTTCTGGGAGCATTTTTCAAATATTTGACCATAGGAGGAAAGTGAAATGGAGTTCCATGGAATTCAAGGCTTTATGATACTCACTTTTCTTCATTGCTGTATGGTTCTTTTGGAAGAGTGTAATCATCAGCAGCAGGAAGGAGTAGCAGGAAGGAGTGGCTTTGGGAAGAGAGGAACTTCTGTGTATGATTGTTTGTTTCATAAAAAAGTCGGCTTTAGTATGGGCTTGAATGTTTCATGGAAGTGAGGAACCTTGCCTAAATCTTTTGGGGATCTTTTCTTGGAGATGGCGCAGCACCTAGTGTATGAGGTCTGTGGGATTCCCCCTCCAGTGGATTGGTGAAATTGAGTATTGTTGGATCTTGCACTGAATTGTAGAGAGGTAGTCATGGCATACAACATTGCTTACAGGTGGCAGTATAAAGAACATTAAATTGCGGAGAGGTAGTCGTGGCATAGATGCTTGAAGCAAGAATGGGCAAATTTGTCCAAACTACCTGATATCTTTATGACTTCTTTGGATTCACTAACAATCTTTTTGACTTGATGAAGTATTCAGCTATTATCATCGTGTCGTGATTTATTTGTTGGAGCTCCAAGGAAAATTGCATGCATTTTTATCAAAGGTTGACCACGTAGAGGTGGGGGGATTATTTCCCCACTGTTTGGGGTGAATTTGTGTCCCCTGATATTTACATGAACAGCCAATGGCCTAAACCATGCTTTGGGCAAACACCCTCCTAGTTCCATGCAGTACTGTCTGGGTCACTTAACATTCTGTTTAATAATTTTCCTCTTCCCATTAGGAAAAAATGGGGAATATCTTTCTTTAACAATCTCCTTGACAGGTGGAATATTAGTACAAAACGATGGTGATAGTGACATTGGGAAGCTTATCATCGAATTGGCAAAAGAACGTAAATACCAAACACTCAGCATAGTTGCAGACAAGCCTGAGTGTCCAGAAATAATTGAAGAGTTGAAAGCCCTGGGTGCGGATATTGTGGTTCCAGAAAGCTACACAAAAACTTGGTATTGTTTCCTCTCATTAAATTTCATATGGATTACTGTTGTCATATAAATCAATGAAAATTATTTTGTCTGTACAATTTTAGATGTTTTTTGATATACTGGATGAAAACATGGCAACTTATGAGAAACGTAAATCTCACTGGGCCCTATATTTCTAGTTTCAAGAAATTAAAACTTGAATATTTGGAAAACCTTGATCACAATCGTTTCTTTGACATTGTGATTATCAAAAAGAAAATAATCGAATCTATGATGTCTTATGTCCATTAAATACATGGGACAGTTGTTTGTGCATATTTTGATTATGATTTATTGCTGAGAATCACAGTCTTCTTGTATGGAAACTATCCAAGGAAATGATTTTCTGTGCCCGTGTGCACAAGTCATTAGTGATGGTTCTGGACTCAGCAATCCATATCAAAGGTTTCTATAATCTGAAGAAAACATGATTTTTTCCAATTGGTCCATTGAATGCTGGAAAGAATTATTCTTTGATGTACTTTGGCAGTCCATGTTGTTGCCACCTTTCCTGTGAGTCTTTTTTGTAAATAGAAATGATGTTAAATGTGGTGAGACTACTCTATTTGATATAAGACTTGGCAGATTGAAGCTAATCTAAATAGTGAATGTTTTGTTCTGGTTCAAAATTTATGGTGAGTTATATTAATAATCTTTTAATTAAACAAGCATATGTTCTATATCATCATCATCATCATCCGATCCTTATTCCAACTATTTGTGTCGGCCACACAAATCTTGTTTCGCCATTCTGCTCTTCTTAGGAACATACTCTCAGTCAGACCATAATTGACCACGTCTTCTCACTACTTCCCATAGTTGTTGGAGGCGGGAGCGAGATTAACTGAATCGCCCTATAGTGGAAGCTCCTTGGGGTTAGGATCGGCGTCCGTACAATGAACAGGACAAAGAGCAAGATCCTTAGGTGTATGGGAGCGAGATCCACTATCAATAGGTTCGATGTTTTCACTAGCAGGGATCTAAGCTCCACTATAATGAACAATGAGGTTGTAAGTAGAGCTAGTACGAGTTCTCTTGGTTACGGAATCAAGGTTTAAGTATGTCATATAATGGGGTTCCTCCTGTTCTAATATTGGGATTCTTAAAGTATAGAAATCAAGGTCCTTAGCTGATTGGCCCCGGGGTCCGCAAGTGCCATTTACCAGGGATCCCTTATCAAGTGCCCCCCCGCCTTTAACAATGGATTTATCTATTTTTGCAGAATAACAACAAATTAATTATGTAGCTCTATAAGTCGGTCCTTCTTATGACCACTACATCGTCAGACCATGACACCAGTTTAGTAGGCACCATTCCCTTTGAGTCCCAGACAATCTAGAATCTTGCCACTCAAGAGTCATCTTCTTCGAATGTAGTCTCTTTTGCTTCCATTGTTTCTCAAAGGCTGGCTCTCCGAAGGGGCAAGAGGACAAGATGAACTACTCTCTCTGTCTCTCTCTCTCTCTCTCTAACTGATGTAAAAGAAGCTTTTTAAAGTTTGAAATGAAAGCATATGTTCTCATCTCACAGCTGTAATCAGATTTAAGATTCTAAAACAATAGAACATTATAAATAAATGAAATATATATTTTCACAACTAAGAGGAATGGCTTACACAATAGGACTTAATATAACAATAGGTCACTCTAGACTATGGCTAGTTCAAATTAAGAATCTCAAATTATGGAACTTCGTGCTATACGAAAACCACAAACATGGAACCCAAGATTTTAATATACCAAAACCTTTGACCATGGTTGATGGGAGCAGGGATTTATTTTTAAATGGAATTGGATTCCACTGATGGATGGAACATGGTCCCTTTTTTTGGGACTGAGATCCCAAAATCGAAAAAGGGGTCGCTACAAGATCTCTTGTAGGAACTTTGGGATCGAGGTTCCAAAGCGGGATTGTCACCCTACCCACAAGGATCCTTTAACTATGCTACTTCCATCCATATCCTATTGGGCCATCCCCTTACCCGTTTAGAGCCCCAAATCAGCCTTCCTAACTGTTGTTGTTCTAAGTCGACACTGCACATGGCCACCTAAGTCTAATTTTCCCTCATCTTGTCGCTTATTGAAGCTACCCCTAAGTTCCCTGGGATGTATTCATTCCGAATTCTATCCATTATTGTTTTGCCACTCATCCATTACAACGTCCTCATCTCAACTACACTCATTCTATAGATAATGTTTTTTCTTGACCGTTCAACATTTTGTCCCATAAAGCATGACTGGTCTTTATTTTTTTTTGAAACTGTAGTATGGCGGGTCTTATAGCCATCCTATAGAACTTCCCCTTCTGTTTTATTGATAATGTGATACGACTCCAGATGCACATCTCTATAATACATGTGCTTTTTGTATATTGCCATGGGAACACCGCTAATAAAGACTCTAGAAGGGAAGGAATACTCCGGTTTGCATCACAAATAAAGGGTGTGGAAGAAATATAAATTTACCTTAACCCCCAAATGGTTACGAAGTGATTCTCTCTGGAGAGGAATTTATGCAACTTTAGTCGTCATACAATTGCAAAAGGTAAATGTGCTACAAAGGGGATGTACTTATTTTAGCAAAGAAGCTTAAATGTGTGATGATAGCAAATAACCAAGAAATAATAGCAATGTATTAGTCAATTAGTCAAGACTAAAAAAAAAAACAAAATGCACAAAGAAATTGGTGTTTTTTTTTTTCCAATAAAAATTGGCACTAAACCTTCTGAATCTTATTCTAATTTTTCTTGATAACTGAATTTCATAGGGGTTCTACGGATCCCACAACTGATGCGTCGAACTCCAGTTTTATTGTTATTGCTTTATTCATGAGCAACTGAACTTTGGAATTTGTCTCAATTGTGTCATTAGCTGAGTAATCCGTCATTAGAATTCGCAATATGAGTGTGTTCATTCCATATAAAGATGACTTAACGAGTTCTACAGAAAGGTGTGTTAGGACATCTCCATCAGTCTTAATATTGTTTCATGTTGATAATTTGATATTTCTTGCTATGTCAAATTTACGCTTCAGGTATTTTCTGGTGTGTCCATATGTGTGTTGACATGTCATACACGCCATCCAACAGTTCATAGATTTGTCACTAGATGTGTCTGGAAATATTTGATGTCAGACTAAGTGGCACATGTGAGAGAAACATTTATGGGCTAAGTCTAGTTTGGGGCTGTTTATCCTCATGCGTTTACTATGATTCGATCATGAGCCCCACTTCTTACTGAGAATGAAATCTTGTCAGATCTTTTGTTAGTAAATATAAAGTGATAAACAATTAAAAGATAATCAAAACTTATCGGTTTTCTTTTTCTACTACATGAAGGTGGCCTGAAATTTATTTATCTCCTTCATTGGTATTTAAAAAACCAGTCAGTGTTATTGAATGTCTTAGTTTTATGCACCCTGTGGAAAATAGGAAAACTAACCTTTAGAAAGAGGTCTCTCTCAAACTAGTCTCCTCCCCCTCTTTAGAAACGGAGTAACAATTATTGGTCTCTGAGAGAGAGAGAGAGAGAGAGAGGGATGCCCACATTCGTGAGATTTGCCATTTTCAAAGACAATGGTATATTCATCACAATCTCCCAATGATATTATTTTGTGCTTTCCTAGAAATTTGTAATAGTTCCATAAATCTTAACCATAGCAGAAATCTGTTAATCTTTGAAAACCAGTGGTCACCAATCGTTGAGATTAAATCCTTAAGGAAACAAGCTCATACATTCTGGATTTGAGTGGGCGCAGGTATATGAAGCGTCTGGTGAGAGAACTGAGTCCACCTGCTGGTTTGAATCTGAGAGAAGATTCCCAAGCTACTGCTGTGGCTAGAGCTGTGGCAAATAGCGGTGTGTTTCTCACTTTTGGCAAAAAGCTTCCAAAATATGTTGATTATGGGGGAGCTGTCCGGAAGCCGGTGGAATGGACTGCTTTTCTGAAACACAAGAACTTGAAGGTGCACACTATATAACCCATCCTCTGTGTGTGTGTTTGTGGACCTTCTCTCTCTCACTGTGTATTTGTGGACCTTTATGGTTCATTTTGTATGAATAATTATGAAAATTGTAATAGCTTTTGAACTCATGTCTATGGGTTCCCAAATGAGATCCCCCAATATTTATGTTCAGACAAAGGCTTTTATCTCAATTTCTTCTTCATATTTCCCGGATGAATGGTTTGAATAATTATGTCGTTTTGAAGCGTATCATGGAATTAAACCTGAATGTGATTTCAGGGTTTAAAGCTTTCATATCTCTGTCGTTTCTGGTTTTCTTTTCTTTTTATTTCTGGTTTTCCATCTCTTGCATATTAGTACGGATGATAAACGTTCAGCATCGGTATTCGAATCCTATACTTAACAAAGTTTTAGTATCGTTGCCCCAATCTTGAGACAAATATTCCATACTGTGGATAATTTTTTTTTTACTAATCTAAATCACTTTAAAATTGGATAATTTATTATTAAAAAATAAGCGAATTCAATAAAAATATCAAAAAAATAATTCATAAAAAATAAATATACAAAAATGCCCCTGAAATTTTTAAGGGTATTTTGATCAATTGTTTTTAATATTTTTATTAGGTGTGCCTTGATGAGAAGATCACATGTTTCAAATTTCATATGATTTAGATTTATAAAAAAAAAAATTACAATTCAAATACAAAATGCACTTATGACCGTCAGATCTATCCAGTTTCAATATTGGTCATTGGACTTATATTATTCTATCAGTTCATAGGTTGATAGGATCTTTTCTCTCTCTCTCTCTCTCTCTATATATATATATATATATAGGATATTCTAAACTTCACAACCGTTCAAATTACAAAAGTTCAAGATAGAGAGAGTTGTGAAGGGTGGATTTATTAATTTTGAAATCTATTTTTTTAAAAAAGTTACTTTTGTGGGGTAATTTTGTAAATATTACTACAAAATAAATGGTACTTTTGTCATTGCCAAAAATTGAAATTTTAACTAAGGGGCCGTTTGGATACTTAGAAATACATTGTCTATGAAATATATTACTGACGTAATACATTACTGCATAATACATTATTTGTAAATGGATTGTTACCATTTCGGTAGTATTTAGATGCAACCTGGGAAATACATTGTTATTGTTTGTCTATGTCTGGAAGAAATATAGGAAATGCATTACCAATATTTTACCAGCACGTGCCTATAAACTATCATTTCTTTTCTTTTTGTCACAAAATTGTACTAAAATGCAGAATTATCATTTCTTATTTTTTTGTCACAAAATTCTACTAAAATACTAAATTAAAATCATCATCACACCATTCCAAAAAGATTTTTAATAATAACATTATCACCATTCCAAAAATATTTTGAAATAATAACTTGTACCATTTTATAGTCATGACACTATTTCCTACTTATTTTTAAGTGCCTTTGGTACTTATATGCAATTACATGTTTTCTAACATGACATTGGTTTCAACATGATAAGTTATTGAAACAATATGATTGGAATAACATGATTTTATTATGATAAGCTTTATTTTTATTTTATTTTTATAGAAGTATTTCAAATGTCTCTTTATATAATTTCAAATAAATAATAAATTTATGATACTAAATTCAAAATTTATAAGGTACGAGTTAAAAAATAGGAAGAAGTTCGATTAGTAAACTAGAACGTTTAGTAATTGCAGTATAAAATTTTGAGGCATTGGAAGAGACTAAAGATGTATGTTATTTCAATTGAGATTTTAGTAATCTCTTATGAGGATTATGCTGTAAATTTTCATTATGATTGTGTTGTGTAATTTATCATTGATTACTGATCTTTCTTTTTATTATTTTTGTTTTATATGACACTCATGTCTTCAGATGAGGGGACGAGCTTAAAAAGGGAGGGATCACATTATATTGTGTAAACTTTTTTATTATGATTGTGTTGTATAATTTATCATTGATTGCTGATTTTTATTTTTATTATTTTTGTTTTTATATGACAGCTCATTCCTTCAGATGAGAGGAAGAGCTTAAAAAGGGAGGGATCACCTAGTTATTATGAAGAGAAAGGGTTTAGAAGATTTTTTTAATCAGGGATAGGGTCAAGGTTTCAAAACACACTAGGCGGCCTGCATGGCGCCCAGCGCCTAGGCGGGCGCCTAGAACCTCGAGCTCCTCGCGGTGCAAATTCTTAGTTTTTTTTAATATATTTGTTATTCGAATGCACAGATATGCATATATTTGTATTTGTATCAAAATTTGTAATTTATTCCAAAATTTGAACCATACAAAACATTTAAAAGTCTAATAGGCTACTGTAAGGTTTCCAACTCTCAAATTCAGAACTTCTCCATATTGGTATATTCCATATCCATAAAATAAACCATAATAACATCCAAGATTCCAAGTCACCAACTCTCCAAGTCATCAACAAACTGACTTCCAAAACTATAGAAAAACCAGCAAACCACACAACGAAATAGTCCAAAATGGCAAAAAATTACAAACCACATAACTAAATAAAAATCGTTCAAACTCCAAATGTCTAAAGCCCAAACCAAGAGGGTGCAATAAAGTATTAAAGTTACTTCAAAAGAGGAGAGAAGACAATCAAGACATCAATAAGAATCAGAATCATCATCGTCATTGCCTTCCTCTGCATCAGAATTGAGGCCGTCATCATCAGAATCATCACCTTCTTCAACATATTCCTCTTCTTCTAGAGATTCTTCTGAATCTGCCTCTTCTTCCTCTATCTCCCTCCGTGAAGTGCTAGCAAAAGAAGTTGCTCGAGTGGCCCTCCTAGGATCAGAAGCTTGCTCTGAAGCCTCATCGACCATTTCTCATGTCAAACCCTCCCTAGGGAAGACCTCCTCAATACCAGGGTCACTAACTAGCCAATCTAAAGCATTCTCCATGTCTTTCGAAGAGATAGGGTCCTTCTTTAGTTGGTTTTTCTTCTTCTTGAGCCTTTGATTCTCTCTAACAAAAACCAAGTCATTAAGCTTCCTTTGCTCAAGCCTATTTCTTCTCTTTGTATGCACCTATAAGGAAATATAATGCATAAGTAACTACTATAGGTTTATGATCTTCTTACCTTTTATGAATCTATATTACAAAATGAATATGAACTTATAAACAAAAAAAGCATATAAAATTTTATTCCTTTAAAATAGTAAAATACCATCTTAAACAAACTCCAAATGCGCTCACAACCAGAAGAGGTAGTTGTCAAACTCAAGATCTGCATAACCATCTTCTGGAGGTTTGGAGCGCTACGCCCATGGTGTCTCTACCATTGGGCTGCAATATGTGGGCAACATTTATAATTAATTTAGGTATTTAACGTTATCAGAATTTGAAAGAAAATTATAAATTTATATTTTATAAAACAAAAGTACATAAGTCAAAAGAATATTACCTGGTTCGTCTTTATTTCTCTGCCTTAATGCCATATCTTTCCCAAATGACATCAAAGAACACTTATACGAAATTAGCTCTACAATTGATATCTTATCTTGGATATTTGGATTAGGAACTAATTTATCAAAACACGCATTAAAACCATCCATAATTACCCCTTTTGATTCAATATCTGCATCTGCCTAAAAGAATTTGGGGTTCAAGTAGTTCCCCACTGCATGCAACGGTCTATGGGCCTGCCTATCCCATTTATCATATATAATCTCCCAAATTGGGGAATACTTCGCTGCATCATCGCCCAAATTCTCTGCAATCTCATTCTTAGCCCTTTCCATTGCATCATATATAAAGCCCATGGAGGGCTTATCAACATCAACCAAATGCGAGACCTTCACTAAGGGAATAAATACTAATATCGCATGCTTCCCCCCACGCAAAACATATTTCGAAAGAATAATATCTCATGTCTTCTTTCCCTTGGCATCTCTAGACCACTTACACCTACTCCACTCCTCTGAAGCAAACATAGACCTTAACGTGATCCTCCTTTTATACATGCTAGACTAAGGTAGGCAGTGGCAAATCGAGTGACCCCAGGCCTCACTAGCTCTCTCTTTTTTGTAAACTTGCGCATCATGCTAAGGGTAAGTATATGACTGTATATGAAGATTGTAACCTTCTTAGCCTTAAAAATAATTCCTTTAATACGAGGTAATTCACCAATTGCCTCAAGCATAAGATCTACGAAATGTGCAACGCAATGAGTCCAAAATATGCGAGGCCTCTTTTGTCGAAGCAAATGACTTGCAGCTAGATTGGGAGTAGCATTATCTGTGACCACTGAAATTAGATATTCATCCCAACCTCTTCAATACCCTTATCAATGGAAGAAAATATATAATGCGCATCATGAACATCATTGGAAGCATCAATTGAGCGCAAAAAAACTGTGCCCGTAGGACAATTTATTAATAAATTCATGTTACTCCTCCTCCTCCTATCACTCCACATATCTGTCATCAAAGAAACCTCAAATTTAGCCCATCACTCCTTATGAGTCTTGAGATATTCATTAGTGTACTCGACTTTTTTCTTCAGTAGTGACTCTCTAATCTCATAAGGAGTTGGAGCTTTCAAACCTGGCCCAAATTGTCCAATTGCTTCCAACATTGTATGGAAGCTATTCAAACTTGCAGTGTTAAAAGAAATGCCTGCATGGTAAAACCACCGAGCAATATACTGAATCACCCTGGCTCTATCTTCCCTTTTAAACCTATTTTCGATTGTCACCTGTTTTTTCCCCTTTCCCTTACCTCTCACTGTCTCAGGGCTAGGTGTAAAGAAACTATCTCTAGGCCCTCTCGTACGAGCCTTCTTAGACCCAAAAGCCCTCTTGGCCTTAGAGCTCTGAGTGCAACCATGGCTACCTTTTCTTCCCCCTCTTCATCATTATCTTCTTCAGTTTCAGTATTATCATAAAAAATATGAACCCCTTACTTTAATTCTGCTATATCCTTTTTTTTTGCACTTTTTTTACTCTTTTCAGCTTCAATGTACTCTAAAATTTCTTTATTTACAAGATCTGAAACTTTCTTACATGGGGTGACATCACCTCTAATATCAGCAAGATGTTTCTTAAATCTATCTATGCCGGCAATAGAAACATGTCCACAGAAAGTGCACATAATTTTATTTATGTCATTCTTATCCGGGTTAACACAATATTTCCATCCTGAATCTCCACCCCTAGTAGACCCTGCAGA